GCTATCTAGTGGTATGCTTTCTCTGGCTAATGGCAGGTACACCATTTGCTTTGGTTTCTAATTTATATTCGCATGCAGTGGCATCAAATTGGGTATTTCAAAGTTGTAATAATAAATAACCAAATATATATATATATATATATTTACATTAAGTAAGAAGACGTGTATGAGTAACGAGTAAGATAATAAAATATATATCCATATCATCTGTATGTCTATCTTTATAAAAAAAATTTATAAATAAATACTTTTATACCTATTTAGCGAATAATTTTATAAATAAATACTTTTGTATCTATTTAGCGAATAATTTTTTTTTTCTAATCATAGACATTTGATAATTATTTGTTGCAATTGGGTGTAATCGTCATCTTTGAAAAGAATGATTCAAAGATTTTAACTCACAACCTACGCATTACTTTTCAGTCCCCGTTGCTCTTTGCCTATTCCACACTAAGTTTGAATGCTTTGAATGCCTATTCCAAACTATGTATGAATGCTTTGAATTTTTGTGTGCGATGTTATCTTTCTTTACAAAGTTTATTGTAATGAGACAAACATCTATACTTAATATATTTCAGTACTATATAACCAAAAATATAAACTATTTATCTATACTAACTAGGATTATCATGCGATAATCATCTGAGTATTCATGCAAAAGATATACGTTTAGAATATTATAAATTTAAATCATAAAATCTATTATCGGTCAGTGTCTCTATATAACACTGCATCAAAATAATACATCAAAAGTGGTCATCTTTAGCATGACCTTTCAGAAACAAGCCAACCTTTCAAGCTAATCATGTCCTGCTCATACTAAGTATGATTATCATAGTCTCAAAACAAGGAAATAAGGGATAAACTTGTGAAAGAATCATCATAGCAACAATATAATGTACAACTTATACAACTTATTCAACTTTGGCAACATCAAGTTACTTCATGGCACACTATCAACTTATCATCATTTACATCTTACAACACAACACAACTTATCAATAATTCAACATAAGTACATTTCAACAACTTCAACATAAAAGCATTCTTAACATAAACAACTTTAAACAATTAATGTTTCGTCACACATATCAACTTATGGAGATCTACAACAGAGATGAGTTGTCTAAATGACTTAACCTTATCGAATCACTAATTTTGATCTATCACAACTAGATGAAGTAGATACAACGTTAGGCCTCTAAGAGTGTTAGGTAAACAACTTAAACTGATTTCTCAACTTTCACCACTTAAGCTAGGAAAGTCTAGTATTAATTTCAGGACAAAATAACTTAGGTGTGAGTCTATCACGACCTTAACATGCATATCTAAGTCTCATATGGGATTAGTCTACTGACTACCCTCCAAATACTACGCACATTTCCAACAATCAGTTAAAGATTTTATCCATCAACTTAATACTTTACTCAGTTGATCACTTTATACAAGTATGGCTTGACCTGACCCCTACACAAATTTCACATAAACCTAGAGGTGATAACTTAAAATAACTACCCATTCAGAAGTCAACTTATTTACTTCAGAGCTCTCAACTTAGGCTCTCAGAACACCACAACTTATATTCACACAATGAGATATTTTAATTTTTGAAACAACTTTACTTTTTTCTAGTTTCTTATGTATCTCAACTAAGACATGTGTCATCACCACATGCTTAACAACTTAATCAACTATAAAATCATACAACTTTGCAACTTAATCAACTATCAACTTACCACTCAAACAACTTTATACATCACTATACATTATCCTAGATTAATGCATAATGAACTATCATCATATAACATCAACTATTTAATCAAATCATCATTCTTCAATTCTTAAACAACTTAAAAACCGAGTTTTCATTCAACAAGTCACACCTGACGCTACTCTTTTCACCCCCAACATCCATTGAGGTAGAGAACCTCTAACTCACCCACGCTCAACATGGATTAGGTAAAGAGCCTTTGAGTTAATAACATCTGGTGTGGTTAAACCCATGTCCAACGTCGTTTAGGTAATGAGTTTCTATCTAGATTACGCATGATGCTACTTATCTTGGGACTTGGTGTCACCAAGTCAAGGAGCTCTTCAAGTACTCACGCTCGACACCTATCACTCTGTGCCCGACGTGGCTATGTCGAAGAAATTCTAATTGATCCATGCTTGACACTACCAACCCCGCACCCGATGTAATTAGGGTAGAGTGCCCTTAACTTGAGTCACACTCGACACCATAAAGGTGTGCCCAATGTGATGAATATTTCTACTCTTGACAGAATCTCATTTTGACTTAAGTCCCTTGAAACTCAAAAAGAGACCAACATGCAACATATAATTCAACATACATACACCAACAACAACTCAAAACCAACACAATAAGCAACGTGCAACCATCAAAAATGAAATTCACCTAATTCTCCTACAACACCTCTTCAAAATGACAACTCAAATAACTCATCCTATCATTCAAATTCAATCAAAAACAACTACAACTCATGAATTCTAACAACAAACAACAACTTATAATTCAATAACATTCGATCAACAAGCTTCTCTTATCTCGAATTGCTCCAAAATAAGAAAAGGAGGAAAAGATGGAAGAATAGCTTAAAAACTCCACATGATTTTGACTTGAGATTCTTAGCTCTTGAAGGTCGAATCTCCAATTTACTGACTTCGATCAACTATAGGAAGAGTTAAGGAGAAATTACAGGAATTGAGGGAAGGAAAGAATTATCTAGTTCTAAAGACTTTTCCTCTAACTTTTCTTTAATTTTTCTTAAAACATGAACTTATGAAATTCACATCCTAAGAAAAATCATATATAGCCATACTCTACCTGAGCCAACTAACTCTAACCAAAATCATCTAAGAGACAACTTAATTTTCAAGGATTTTATGACCCCCAAAAATTCCAAAACATCAACCATAACAATTTAATCATATAATCATACAATTAATTAAAATCATTCAAAACATATAATGTTACATTTATTAATCTAGACTGACTTTTAAAAAAGCATTTCATTTATAAAATGATTTTTTGAAATTTTCTAAGTGAGTTATATTAAAGGTTTAAACTATAAAAATATAATTATAAAATAAATACTCTTAAATGCTAATATACAAAGAAATGTTGGTAAAATATAACTTTCTAATAGTCTTAAATACATTTTTTTATTGAATAAAATTTATTAAAGATTATAAAATTGTTTGAATTTTATGTTTTATTTAATATTTTTTATTGATAAATTTTAATTAATAATAAAAATTTATTATCATAAAAGCTGTATTACAAGCACCATTCTCAAAGTTAAAATCAAAATAAAAGGTTAGTAAAATTCTCGTTATATTTGTTGAATAATTTTAACACTTCTTTGTCATAAATAATGCATACACTTATTATAAGTATAGTTTTAAATTGTGACCTGTAGCATGGTTGTAGTAGGGTTGGTATACATGTTAGTCAAGTTTATTTAAGGTTTGACTTGTAAAATTTTCATTTTTAATGGCTAACAAATACTAACCTCATTAGGAATGTCTAACAAACCTTATGTTAATTTATTTGTTGTTATGTAAATTAGTTATATGCCTTCTGTTTCTGTAGTATATTATCCATGATTGGACCTAAACATCTCAATAGATTCGATTCGATAGATTTATATTAGATTATATTTAAGATGATACAATTTTAAATATAAAATATATTAAAATTCAATGCTAATTAACTAAAATTATTTATTATTTAAAATCTCTCATAAAATTGAAAAAAAGATAAACACGAGAGGTTTACATGTTAAATTCTAAAATCTATGAATTTCATATGCCAAATTTAATTTCTTCTATAATTATATAAATTTTTAAAAAATCACAAACTTTGCAAACGGGACCGCAAACTTAGTCCATATCACTCCTATGTCGTGGTCACAACATGAACATGTATATAGCAACCGCGATTTATAACCATAATTGCAAGTTAAGTACGTAGTCGCAGTCTCAACATAATCATAAAGGTTCGTAAAGCTATAGTGTAAGAAATAAGAAAATTTAAAGAGAAAATGAATAAGATTGGACGTTAAATTAAATTTTAATTAAACCACTTGAATTTCAACTATTAATTATATGTAACATATTATAATGAACTAAAAAAAAGAAGAGAGTGAAATACTAGTACACCGAATTTCAGATGAAACAACAAAGGGATTTAATTGGGTAAGATTTGAGCTAATCTAGTCTAATCTGATTTAATAAGATGATAGTGGAGGATTAATCTATATGACAAATTGACTCTCAGGGTGTGAAAATTAAAAGCGCGGAAGCATTAGGGGGACCCCACCTCCTGGCAGAATATTTTGCATGAGTAAGGAACACGTGGAATGAATCTGAGACAGGCTGAGGCTGAGCGAGCGAAAGCATGAAAATAAAATTAAATAATGAAAGAAGAAGCATTAGCAATTAGCAATTAGCAATTAGCAATTAGCATTTAGCATTAAGCATGAGAGGGTGTAATGATGAAAGGGGTCCGTTGCCCTTTCTTTCCCCTCTCCAACTTTAAATTCTCACTCTCAATTTTTCTTTCAGATCCCCAACATCACCAATCTCCATGCCAATTTCCCCCCTATTTTTTATTGCATAATAGTAACACCACTCTCCAATCCTCTTTTGCATGCACATCAACATCAACATCAACATCATGCGACACCATGATGACCGGGTGCGACCGTGAAGCATGTTTCTCGGCGTCGATCTCGCTCTCGCGTCACTGACATGGGCTGCGCCGCCTCCAAGCTCGACGACTTCCCCGCGGTGGCTCTATGCAGGCAGCGAAAGGACTTGCTCAAAGCCGCATCGGAACAACGCTACGCCCTGGCCGCAGCACACGTGGCGTATTTCCATTCGCTCAACCAAATCGGCGACGCCCTTCGCAAGTTCGCAGACCAGGACCTCACCACCACAGCCTCCACCCCCACCCCCACCCCCGGTTCCTCCTCTCCGGTTCTCACATTACCCTCCCAACCCAAATCTAAACTTTCCTCTTCTTCCCCTTCCATTCACGATTCCCCTCACGGTTCACACTTGCCACTCTCCTCTGGATCCGAATTAAGTTCCCCTTTTCATTCTCATTCCTCTTCCCCAGAACCTCACCCACCACCACCTTCCTTTTCTCCTCCTCCTTATGCCTATTATCAGAATTACCATTACATGAAGAGGACCGTTCCTCATGGCAAACCCATGCTCTACGAAGAGCCGGAGAGACACGTCGCCACGTTTGGACAGTGGCCGGATCCTTCTTACAATGCTTTCTACGGCTTCCAGAATGGGGACTACCCTTATTACCCTCCTCCGCCTGCTCCCTCCTCTTCCCCGCCGCCGCCTCCGCCCTCGCCGCCGCGGGTCTCCACCTGGGATTTTCTCAACGTGTTCGAGGCTTTCCACAGCGGCTACCCGGGTTACCCGAACCGGTTCGGGTCGAGTGCGAGCAGTGCCGATTCGAAGGAGGTGAGGGAGAGAGAGGGGATTCCCGAGTTGGAAGACGAAACGGAGCAAGAAACGGCGAAGGAGGTTCAGTTGAAGGAGAATAAGAAGTTGGGGGAGAAAAAGGTGAGGGATTTCGGGGAGGGGCCTTCGAACTCCAAAGCGGTGCCGTTGCAGCAGGTGAGTAGCAGCGAGGGGAGTTCCAAGACGGTGAGGTTTCACGACGGCGGCAGCGACGCCGGTGAGGTGGAGAAAGAGATTAAGAGCAGCCCCGACAGTGTTGTGTCCGAGGAGCCCAAGAAAGGGGTGAGTTTCGAGATTGACGAGGCCACGGTTACGACGGTGGATGGTGACTCTTCCGTTTTGAGTAGTGTCACCACTTTGTCTGCGCATGGCACGAGGGATATCAGAGAGGTTGTTCAGGATATTCGAGATGAGTTTGTCACGGCTTCTGGTTTTGGGAAAGAGGTTGCTTTGTTGCTTGAGGTTTGCAAACCGCCTTATCGCTCCAGGGTTGCGCCACTTAGAGGTATCAATGTTTTATCCTTTTTATGTCAATTGTTTGATGGAGTTTTTGTCTTTGTGAACTTGAGCTCGTATTTGGCTTATTGGCTCCTTTTGCTGGACCTGTAGGACTAGGGGAAGGAAAGGCTAGTTAGATTTCTTTTGGGGTTTTGATTTTGGATTACTTTGTAATTGAATTAGATTAAGCTAGTGTTGTTTGCTTCATTGTTTAGATTTGATTACATTTAGTTTCTTTTGAATACAGTCTGGCTTTGTTTCTACACATAGACCCTCCTTGTAAACATGAAACATGTTTTGGCTAATGAATAATTAAAATTTCTGTTCAGACAGTACCTGAGTTACTTCACGCTCTAGAGGAGCACTGTAGTCTGAAGGCTTTCTTTCTCACCCTCGTTCCCATCGAAAAGGGGGGCGGGGTGTGTGTGTAATATTTTGTCACTTTGTCAAGAAAGTAAGAAAAATGTGGAATCTATGCAAAAAGTATTAGTTACGTTTCAAACACCTGAAACGCATTAAAAGGGGAAGAGGGAGGGGGGGGGGGGGGGGGGGGGGGGGGGGGTGGGGGCGTATTGGGAAGTTGGAACAAAGCGTCTCAAACACCTCAGCCCGTTTATCAGCCGGGTTGTCTTCTTCTGTTTTATTTATTTATTTTTTATCTTGTTGGGTTCTTTTGGCTTTGGCAGCGTGCTTATGACTTGCTAGAATAAACATGATTTATGCAGTTTGATGGTCATGCAAATATGCTATGCACACTGGTTTCATTGTGATGATCTATATGTATGTATGTGGACAAACATAATCTTAACAAAGATAGTATCGAAAAAAAAGGCACGAAGCTAATTACTAAATTAAATGGAAGCAGGTTTATTGTAAAACAGTATTTTCTGCAACTTTTCGCTATTGGCTCATGTTGATTTGGCAAAAGCATGAGTTCAACAGGCAGAATATTTTTTATTCTGAGTGTTATTAATTATATTAATAAGATGTTTTTTGTGGTTTTACTCCCGAGAATTGTTCATTTTCTTCTGTACTATTCACCTTTTGTATCCTCTCCTAAGACAGGTAGTCTAGTTAGTATAGACAGACTGCAGGTGGTACTAGATTTTGTGATAAATTGTCAACAAGTTGAACAATTCTAAGCGGAATATATTTCATTATGCATCCCTTAGTTTTATATTCCCATACTCCAGCCTCCCAGGCTTGTGCCTCAAGAAAACGCAGGTGCAGTTTGATTTAAAGGTCAAAGTAGACCGGGTCCTTCACATGACTCTTCTATTGCGTACATTCGTACAACGTACTATATACATACATACATAATAGATGTGTGTGTATTTGTTGGGCTTTATTGTTAAAATATTTTGTATTTGTTTATTCACCTTACCTACATTTACAATGAGTTTGAAACATTGATCAACTAAATGTCTTGTTATGTTATGTATTTTTATGCAGTTATGTTTTCCAGAATCTTGCAGATGGTAGCACCTTCCAGGTTTCCTTCACATCCCATATCTGTACAATTTTCTTCTAGGGAAATAAAATTGGCGCAAGCATACTGTGGTGAACCTGGGAAAGACTTCAAGACGAATCCAGAGAACCTTTCATCTACACTGGAGAAACTTTATGCATGGGAAAAGAAATTGTATAAGGAAGTTAAGGTATCATGCATAATATGATTCTGTTGAAATCATTCAAGTATTTAGATTCTTTAAACTGAAATGAATGAAGTTAGAAATGATTGGGTCTATTCATAGTTTGATATTAATCTTACTGATTTGCTGTATAACCTCCTTTTTTTTTTTTTTTTGTCAATGTGTCATGCATATTCGGCATCATTTTCTATGATACATTACTTGTATTAATAAGGGACTTTCAATAATATCATTCTGTGTTAATTTCAAATTGTGCTTATATGTTCACGTTTTTTCCCTGTTCTTAGGATGAAGAGAGGTTACGAGCTATTTACGAGAAGCAGTTCAAGAAACTGAGAACATTGGATAATCTAGGAGCTGAATCTAGTAAAATTGATGCTACTAGAGCATCAATTAGAAAGTTGCAAACAAAAATCAATATTTGCATCAGAACTGCTGAAACTATAATGGGAAGGATACACGAATTGAGGGATAAAGAGTTGCAGCCTCAACTTGCAGCACTAGTTAATGGGTATCAATTTGCTTCACTATTTCACTATGCCAACATTTTTCTGTCATTGCTTATTAATTTCTGGTCACAAAAATTTAAAATTTTGAAAAGAAAATACTGTCAAAAGGCTATTTTGGTAATATTTCAAAGGGAAATTTGTTTGGTTTCTCTTTTTCCCTTATAAGGATTAGACTAAAACAAGTAATGAAGAAGTGTTAGATGTTTTTAAACACACGAGCCACTTTTTGAAGTTTCACATCATTGTTGGCCATGCTTTAATCTCTCTGTTGTGAATTTTGATGATAGTTAATGATCAAATAGTTATAGTTGTTTTCTTTTTTTGTACTAATTAATTAAGTAAAACCCTGTTGTTCTCCTCCTTAGATGCTTGAATTAACAGTTTTGTTCCCCACAGTTCAATTGGCTCAATGTCACTCCTCTGTTCATCTAAGAATGAGAAGATCCTTATGGAATGTTTGAGTTTGCAATTTAAAAACTTTTCTGTCATTATTAAATCTTGATATCAGAGCCCCCTGGATGCTGAGAGGCCAATAATTGATTGTGGCAATATGTGCCAAACCGGACATTCCATTGAGGTTTTTGTCTTGAGATGTATACATTGAGTCATTATATCTTTGGGTGATTGGTGAGAAATAGGCTTCAGTGGTTAATGGTTGAAGATGTTTTATGGCTAAATCTATTGTTTCTTTAACACAGTTGAATTGTTTCTCGAGCTAGAAGTTATGAACCTATTGATTTGATGAATATCCTTTTTGTTAGCAGATTCATAAGAATGTGGAAATTCATGCTCAGATGCCACCAGAAACAGTTCAAAGCTATCATGGAGAGTAAAAGTCAGTCTCTTAAGATTAACATTGGCCTGCAAGGAGATGAAGGTTTGAAGGCCATTGTAGAACTTGAAAAGGAGCTTTTGAATTGGTGCTGTCAGTTCAACAATTGGGTTAAGACTCAAAAATCTTATGTCAGAAATTTGAATGAGTGGCTCATAAGGTGCCTTCCTAATGAACCTGAAGAAACAGCTGATGGTATTGCCCCTTTCTCTCCAAGTCGGTTTGATGCTCCACCAGTTTTTATAATTTGCAATGATTGGCATCAAGCAATGACAAGAATTTCAGAAACTGGGGTGGCAGATGCCATGCATGGATTTGCTCTAAAACTACATGAGTTATGGGAAAGGCAAGATGAGGCGCAACGCCAGAGAATCAAAGCGGAGTATCTCACAAAGGACTTCGAGAAACAGCTTAGAACTTTGCGCACAGAAATGGTAGGCTCAGGACAAGAGCATGATAAAGTTTCAGGAAAGACTGCATTGTCAAAGTTTGCTTCTGATGGTGGTGTTTTACCACTAGATGACCTAAAAGTGGATTTAAATTCTATGAAGAAGAGATTGCATGAAGAGAGGGTCAGGCATAAAGAAGCCATCAAACTTGTACGTGATGCAGCTAATAATAGTTTACAAGCTGGTTTGATTCCCATTTTTAAGACATTAGAGAGTTTCACTTCAGAGGTGGTGAAAGCTCATGAACAAGTCAGGCTTCAAAATGTTGGAGACTCGTAGAGATTCCAGCTATTTGATTTCTTTTGGTGACATGTGATTGCATTTACTAGTGTGGATTGGATGTGGGGTTTTCTAGGGTAGGTGGAAGATTTAGAACTAACCACCAGTTTTGCAGCTAGAGTTATTCTTATTCCGTAGGAAAGCACCTCTTGAATTACCTCAAAGAGGTTTGCTTGGAACATGTTTCAGCAATGAAGGGTTTGGGTGCCTAAATGTCAGGAGTGAGCATCTTGAATTCAGCTTTGTTAACACCCAATCCACAGTTAGGTAAAATTTGTACAGAAAAAAAAATTCATTCATTGGTTGATTGGTTGTAACTTGTAGGTGGACTGTATATGTAGCACATGCCTAGGAGTAGCTAATCAGGAGGAAGCAAGGCAATTTTGTAGAAGTTTCAAGAATGATCTGGTGAATTAAAACATGCTTTAATTTCCTGTAGTTTTTATTCTATCCTTTTCTCTGTTACGCCTATGTCCTGATTGTGACCGACTCTATTAAAGCTAAATGGCTGATCAGCATCATTAAATTGGGGTACACATGTAAGCTTCTTTGAAAGAGTTGATTGTGTGCTGAAATATGAAATCATCCTTCACTTGTCCAATGAAGGAAACTGTAATCTGTTTCTGAAGAGACGGGAGTTAATGATGGAAAACTATTAATGGAGGATTCACTAAGTGTCGTAAATGCCACCAAGGGTCAATTACTTCCGAACAAAGAACTACCATTAAGAAATCACACTGCATTCTAGTATCATGGCCGAGCCAGAGGATAAGCTTTATTAATTTAACAGAAAAAAGTCAAATTATAAGCTATTAGAATTGTTTGGACTTTGGACTGGTTAGTAGCATATAAAAGGTCGTTTGTCAGTGATTATTGAGCAAGGGTATGTGTGATTTTGGAAAAGAAGAGAAAGAAATAAATTAAGTAAAAAGTTTAGGTAAAGAGGAAAAAAAACGGTATTAAAGAGTGAAATAATTTTGTAAGCTATTTGATAAGAAAGGAAAAATAATAGTTTAGTTGTGTAGAAAGAAAAAGAAAATTATATAGAAATTATTAAATAACAAAAAAAATTAATAGAAAAATGTACAAAAAGAATAAGGATAATTAGTTTTTGTAGTATATAAAACCAATTTTTTCCTCTTCGTTTTATCAAAAGTGAGCAGATTAAAAAATCGTTGAGTCCCATGTTTTTCATTCTTTCTTCCCTCATGAAAATGATATCAGACTACACGAAATTTATCACCTTTTTGGTTCCTCCAGAATCTTCTACCTACTTTTTTCTTGTTTCAAACAGACAAGTTAAAAAGGTCAGTAGCTATTTGTTTTACACAATATTTAATGACACTTTTAGTTAATTATTTTTTACCAAATTGTTACATAGAGATTTGACTGTGTAGTTGTTTAATAAATTGTTGTACCAAAATGTGTACTAGTAGTCTTTTTTTTTTTTATCATTTTCTTTTTCAATTCATTTACCTGAAAAAGTGTCTATTTAATTTGAAACAATGTTTTCTATTTTAGTTTTTTATTTCAAATTTTAAGAATGATATTTTATTTCCATTTTGTATTATACTTGCAGAGTTGTATAAAAAAAATAAAGAAAATGATGAAAGCTTACTTTGACTATTTTAAAATCAACATAAAATAAAATAAGTATTTTTATAATTATAAGTGAAAAAAGGACGAAAAAAAATATTTTTGTTGAAATAAAATAAATAGCCCCTAAGATAAGCTAATTTCTTAGCAATAGGTTGTTTGTCTCCTTCACTTGATTATGCCTTTTCAATTTGTCCATATTTTTTGTTTCTGCTTTTGCATTTTAATTACTACTATAATCAATGTCATCACTACTTCAATACAATTAAAACTTGAAAAGGTTTGGGAAAAAATGCAGGTCCGAGATGGAACAACAAACGAGGCAAGGTGGTGCTCAATTTAGGGTCCTTCTAATAATTGAAGCTTTAGTTACCTTCCATACTTCAATACATTCAATTCTTGTACAGTGTATTAACCAAGGATACTAAACTAAAGTAACAAATGGGCCACGTGATCACTCAAACCAATGAACCATAAAAGCATAATTTTTCACGATGAGTACTTTGGAGTGAGAATTACGAGGTGGTTACTTACATTTAACTCTTAAGGCAGAGAGGCATTTTATTCGGGGCGCAAAAGAAAACATAAAAGGCAAACACGTCGTTGTGACAAGAAGAATCGAATGAGATTACGCCACGTATGAGAGAGTAGCAGCGTGGGAAGCATGGGTTCGCTATACGTATTGTAGCCAATACCAGAATTCCAAATCCGCTGTTTGCTGCTCCTCCTACAAACAAAACTACAAATGTAACAAAAACCTCTTTCCGAGTGTCTCTGTCTACAAGTGAAAAAAAATTGAAAGCTTTTCTTCTTCCGTTCCGTGTGAGATGGGTTGTTGTAGGATTTGGATTTGGTTCCTCTTTGTGTTGGCGGTGGTGTCGCTTCCTTCTAGAATCTCCGGTGAAACATGGGAGGCTGTTCTGACATTGGATCACTCCAACTTCTCCCACACTGTCAGCAAGCACAATCTCATCGTCGTCCAGTTCTACGCGCCATGGTATGTCTTTCGTTACTTGTCCTTGTCACTCTTTAAATCGAACAAATATAGTAATTTAAAGAGTTGAGTTCAAAAGTTTGACCGTTGAAATGCATTTCATTCGCCAAAATAAAGCAACAAAAATCACCACTACCCAATTGTTGCACCTTTTTTTTTTCTCTCTTTACTTTTAGTATATTTTAATGTAGCAATTATGCCGATAAAAAGGTGTACATATACTCTGTTTTCAATCAGTTTTGAGAATTTTATAGTCATTGAAAAAAATTCTTCCTCTTCCTCTTCCATTTCCGTGCGCTACTCTGGGTGTAGTTTGTTACTTTTCACTCGATATGTCAATACAGAAATAAAGTTATTCTTCAAATCACAACTTCATATATATAAAGAGGAGAAATAACCTCTTTTTTATTTTTATTTTTTAAAATATTAACTAACTTCCTAAAATTTTATTATTTTTATAAATACTACATGAACGAAATATTTTGTGTCTCTAATAATTATATATGGACATGATATTAGAAAATTATGAATAATTATTTAGGTATAATATAAAAAAAATTATATCTAAAAAATATAATAATCCACTAAAAAGTGAAGATAAGAAATAGTTACATACTCCAATTTCTTTTATTAATAGATATAGATATAAAATAAAATTTAATTTTATCTAATTAATTCTTCAATTTTATCTTGATTATAAATAGATACATAAATTAAAAGATGTTACGACAAATTGTTCATTATTGTTCATTAATTATAATTCTTAATCAAAGACTATATTTTGACCTTTAATTTGAACATAAAGTTACGATTAAAAGTATAACTTTATTCTATTAAAATTGACTCCATAAAAAAAGTTATAAACTTACACTTTCTTATGAAACAAATAAAAAAAAGACATAAGTTTTAATTTTGTTTTGATTAATACTTTAAATTTATTATTGTTGCAAATAAACATATGAACTTTAATTATATTTTAATTCATTTTTAAAATTTATCTTTTTTCTTATTTTGTTACAATTTAATTATTCATGTATTAACATATAATAAAAGATATGAATTAAAAAAAGAAAATAATAAAAAAACAATTGAAAAGTCTTTATTTAATTCTAAATTTTATTATGTTTTAATGTTTATAAAAAATTATTTCTAAAAAAATATAATAACTAGATTTAAAATAAATAAATATTTGATATTTTTTCTTTCTTAATAATTTAATCCAAATTTGATATTAAAAAAATCTATTTATAATTAGGATAGATTTTAAAGAATAATTGAGATGAAATTGAAATTAAAATATTTATTTGCAAAATTAATAAAGTTTAAGGATGAAATAAAATTAAAGTTTATGATGTCAATTTATAAACTAAATAAAGTTTAAAGATTAATTAAAATAAAAATAAAAATTATAATTTTTATATGCAAAAAATGTAAAAGGTGAAATAAATATTTTTTTCTAACAACTTAGTGTAGTATAGTTGACAATTCGCTATGTTTTTTAAACATGTTTTTTTTACACACATTTTGTTATTAATTAAAACTTATAGAAATTGAAAGAAAAAGTTGATAAATAAGTGAGATACTAAGATCAATAGAAATTTATTTTTAATAAATTTAATTTAATAATAATAAAATTATTTAAAAATATATTGCTAATATAAAAAGAAATCGAGAAAAACATTCTCTATAAAATATGCTTTAAAAAAATTATTTTAAAGAATAAGATATTAAAATGAATAGCTCATAGAAAAGTTGACTTAAGCTGTTCTAGTTAACAAGATGATAAGACTTTTAAGTTTGTCAACTAATCAGTTTGACTTTAATCAAGTGTATAGATTAACTTCTTCTAAGTTCTAGACTAACTAATGATATCCAATTTTATTAAACACTTGGCTAATTAGCTACTAAAGGTCTTATGATTTTAAATAAGATTGTGAAAGATATATGTGATACGCAAAAGAAAAAAAGAAGGATTAATTACCTTTTAATCTTTAGAGTTGTACATATTTTACATTTTAATCTTTTTTAATTAAAATCTTATATTTTATTCTTTTTACGTGTTATTTTTATTTTTTATATTTTCATAAACTTTACCTTTTAATTTTGTATAAAGACTAAAATTAAATGTTTTAACTTTTAAAAACTAAATAAAATAAAATATTATTAAAATATAAGTGTAACGATCTAAAAGGTCCTTAAACTTTATAACTCAGTAACTATAATATTGTAACACATAAATCAAACTAATCCTAATTACCAAACAAACAATTTTTAGGTATACATGCAACAATATATATATATATATATGTGTGTGTGTGTGTGTGTGTGTTTGTGTGTGTGTGTA